GTGTCAATCAGACACACTGAGCGGTGTGGACCCATGTGGCTGGGGAACCTGCCCCCCCCCCATGCTCGGCTCCCGGGGGCCCAAGTTCCAGGCCAGTGCTGTGTGCACTAGGCTACGCTGCGCCCCACAGCTCTGCAGTCACCCCGACCCCCAGTCTCCTCTCCCAGCCAGGCACCGTGCATTTGAACCCCGGACTCCAGAGGCCAAAGGCTGGTCCCTCGAGCCTGGTTGTGCCAGTAGCCGGCGTCCCCTGCCGGAGGGTCCCCTGCTGCGGGGAGGGGCTCCGGATTCTTGTCGGTGACGTGTCCTCTTCAGCAGGGTCTGTGCTGCGCCCCCGAAGGACCGGCCCACCATGCACCACCCACTTCTCCACTTCTGCCTCCTCCTGCTGTGCTATGAGCTACATGGGCACCGGCTGCCCCCCCCAGTCCCACCGGGAGGCGCCGCTGGGACCGTCAAGCCCCCAAGGATGGAAGTCGCCCCCCTCCCCACTTCTCCCGACCTGCCCAGCTCCCATCAGGCCGCTGCCAGGGTGTTCCTCGACTCCCTCCTGGGGCGGCTTCCCCAGCCGGGGCTCCCAGGGGTGGGGGTCTCCTGCCAGGACTTGCTGCCCGAGGCCCTGGAGGGTTTCTCCCAGCTCCCGCCGCTGCCCCAGACCCTCGCCAGCGCGGCCTTAGCCCTCTCCCTCCAAGGGGCTGGCTGCCCCCGCCAGGCCGAGGGGCTGGTGCTGCGGCTCTACGGGGCGGTGGGGATGGATGATGCCAACGCGTTGCTGCTGGGGATAGCAGGACGCCCAGGAAGCCCCAGCCAGGGCAAGAGAGGCAGGACCGCCCTGCTCTTCAATGTGGATCAGCTGGCAGGGGTGGGCCCCCGGCGTTGCTCGGGCCTGGCCCAGATCGACAGCTCCCTGCTGCTGGGCCCGGTGGCCAGCACCCACACCACCTTCCCAGCCGCCGCCATGGCCTGCCACAGGCTGGGCTCTGCCTGTGCCGGCGTGACCTCCAACGGGACCACCTCCTTCTCGGTGATCGGACAGCCCGGCGCCTACGCCCTGCCAGGCCGCGGGGTCCCGGCCTGGCTCCACCGGTGCCGCGGAGCAGGGAGGAAGCGGCGCGGGAGCCCGGAGGCCTGCAGCAGCACGCGGGAGCGGAAGGTGCATGGCATACTGGAGTGGGTGCCCGTGGTCAGCACTTACTACAACGTGGGCACCAGCATCTACTACGCCTTCCAGAACTGCACGGAGCTGGCCAAGGAGCGGGGAATCGAGGCGGCCCTGGACCTGAGCTACGACGCCCTCCTGGGGCTCTTGGGCACGGCAGGGGGCAACTTGGGCGTTGGCATAGCCGTGGGGCTGAAGCCGGCCGTCAAAGTGGGGGTGCGGTCGTTGATTAGCTACTTCCGGCAGGTGGAGCCGTCCGACCCCCTGCCCACGAGCTCCTCCAGCCCCGTCACCACAGCCGGCTCCTTCGTGCCGCCATCGGTCTGGGTGTGAATAAAGCAGGGCGCTGCCCATTCTTTAAGCCCAGTGCTGGTGTCCATGATGGGAGCGGCTGGGGGGGCGCCGAGGAGGGGAGCTGGCTCACAGCCAACCCAGCTGCACGCCCAGCCGGGGCCTGCACGTGCAACGAGTTTGGTGGGTCTCAGCCCAGGCCCCAGTGGCCGGCTCTCTCAGCCACAGTGGGCACAGGGGCTGGAGTCGCTCTGTCCAATTTCCAGCCCCCTGCGGGGTGCTCTGGGGAGGAGGGAAGGACCCTGCCCGCCACTTGCCAACTCAGCATGAGTACCTGGGCTTGAAATCGATAATGGACATCTGATCTCCCGCCAGGGTTAGCCTGACCCAGGGCAGCCAGCTGCCACGAGTCGAGTCTAAAGATCAGCAGGTCTCAAAGGGGCCGGCCGGCCGGCCAAATTTCTCCCAGAATCATAGACTCAGGAGGTATCTAGTCCAACCCTCTGCTCAAAGCAGGACCAGGACCAACTAAACCATCCCAGCCAGGGCTTTGTCAAGCCGGGCCTTAAACACCTCTAAGGAAGGAGATTCCCCCACCTCCCTAGGGAACCCACTCCAGTGCTTCACCACCCTCCTAGGGAAAAAGTTTTTCCTAATATCCAACCTAAACCTCCCGCACTGCAACTTGAGTCGTGGACAACCCTGGGTCAAATCGCTTCCTGCGGCCTGCCCAGCCCGGCCTTGTCCTGGCTAATGGAGCTCGGCATTCGCAGGGTTTTGTTACCAGCCAGGAAAGTGCAGGCTAGTCATTACTGCGGGGCAGTCGGAGCCAGGACTCCTGGGTTCTGTGCCCGGCTCCGGGCTGGGAGTGAGCGCAGCAGGAAAGCAGGGGCTGTGGGAGCCAGGACTCCTGGGTTCTGTGCCCGGCTCCGGGCTGGGAGTGAGCGCAGCAGGAAAGCAGGGGCTGTGGGAGCCAGGACTCCTGGGTTCTGTGCCCGGCTCCGGGCTGGGAGTGAGCGCAGC